GTGCTTTAGGTGAAAATTTACAGCTCAAGTTAGTTTCTCATACAAAAATTTATACACATATTGTTATGTGACCCTAGTTGCTATCCCTATAATGTGACAGCACACTCCCCTTTTCACCCTGGATTTCCTGGGTCCATTCAACCAGCTCCTATCCCTTTCTGCCTTTTCGTCTCACCTCCAGACAGGAGCTGCCCATTTAGTCTCGTGTATCTACTTGAACTAAGAAGCACATTCTTCATTAGTGTTATTTTATATTTCATAATCCAGTCTTATCTTTTCCTGAAGAGTTGGCTTCAGGAATGGTTTTAGTTCTGGGTTAACAGAGAGCCCAGGGTCTATGTCTTCTGGGGTTCCTCTAGTCTCAGTCAGACCATTAAGTCTGGTCTTTTTACATGAATTTGAGTTCTGCACCCCACTTCTTTTTACTTTCTTGATGGTGTTCTTTGAAACACAGAAGTTTTTAATTTTGATGAAATCCAATTGATCTATTTTTTCTTTTGTTGTTTGTGCATTTGGTGTTATATCTAAGAATCCTTTCCCAAATCTAAGGTCATGAAGATTTACCTCAATATTTTCTTCTGAGAGTTTTATAGTTTTTGCTCTTATATTTAGGCCTTGGTCCATTTTGAGTTAATTTTTATTTATAGTGTGAAGACATTGTATTCATTGTCAAAAAGAACACCTCAAGATCAATCCTGAGGTACAGCGCCGTCAGTGATAGGATAATATCCATATTTCTACAAGAAAGACCAGTTAATACGACTATTATTCAAATTTACGCACCAACCACTAAGGCCAAAAATGAAGAAATTGAAGATTTTTACTAACTTATCCAGTCTGAAATTGATCAAACGTGCAGTCAGGATGCATTGATAATTACTGGTGATTGGAATGCAAAAGTTGGAAACAAAGAAGAAGAATCAGTATTTGGAAAATATGGCCTTGGTGTTAGAAATGATGCCAGAGATAGCATGATAGAATTCTGCAAGACCAATGACTTCTTCATTGCAAATACCTTTTTTCACCAACATAAACGGCGACTATGTGGTCCTCACCGGATGGAATACACAGGAATCAAATCGACTACATCTGTGGAAAGAGACAATGGAAAAGCTCAATACCATCAGTCAGAACAAGCCCAAGGGCCGACTGTGGAACACCATCAATTGCTCATATGCAAGTTTAAATTGAAGCTGAAGAGAATTAGAACAAGTCCACGAGAGCCATAATACAACCTTGAGTATATCCCATCTGAATTTAGAGACCATCTCAAGAATAGATTTGACATGTTGAACACTAATGACCGAAGACCAGATGAGTTGTGGAAGGACATCGTACGTGAAGAAAGCAAGAGATCGTTAAAAAGACAGGAAAGAAAGAAAAGACCTAAATGGAAGTCAGAAGAGACTCTGAAACTTGCTGTTGAATGTCAAGTAGCTAAAGCAAAAGGAAGAAATGATCACGTCAAAGAGCTGAACAGAAGATTTCAAAGAGCGGCTAAAGAAGACAAAGTAAAGTATTATAATGACATGTGCAAAGACCTAGAGATAGAAAACCAAAACAGAAGAACATGCTCAGCATTTCTCAAGCTGAAAGAACTGAAGAAAAAAATTCAAGCCTGAAGTTGTAATAACGAAGGATTCTATAGGGAAAATATTAAATGACGCAGGAAGCATCAGAAGAAGATGGAAGGAATACATAGAGTCACTATACCAAAAAGAATTGGTTGACACTCAGCCATTTCAGGAGGTAGCATATGATCAGAAAACGATGGCACTGAAGGAAGAGGTTCAAGCTGCGCTGAAGTCATTGGCGAAAAACAAGGCTCCAGAAGTTGATGGAATACCAATTGAGATGTTTCGAGAAATGGATACAGCACTGGAAGTGCTCACTTGTCTATGCCAAGAAATTTGGAAGACAGCTACCTGGCCAACCCACTGGAAGAGATCCATATTTATGTCCATTCTGAAGAAAGGTGATACAACCAAATGTGGAAATTATCTAACAATATCATTAATATCACACAAAGTAAAATTTTGCTGAAGATCATTCAAAAGTGGCTGCAGCAGTATATCGACAGGGGAACTGCTGGAAATTCAAGGTGGATTCAGAAGAGGATATGGAACAAGGGATATCATTGCTGATGTCAGATGGATCCCAGCTGAAAGCAGAAAATACCAGAAAGATGTTTACCTGTGTTTTTTTGACTATGCAAAAGCGTTCGACTGTGTGGATCATAAAAAATTATGGATAACATTTTCAAGAAATTCCAGAACACTTAATTATGCTCATGAGGAACCTGTACATAGATCAGGAGGCAGTCGTTTAAACAGAACAAGGGTATACTGCATGGTTTAAAGTCAGGAAAGGTGTGCATCAGGGCTGTATCCTTTCACCGTACTTATTTAGTCTGTATGCTGAGCAAATTATCTGGGAAGCTGTACTATATGAAGAAAAATGGGCCATCAGGATTGGAGGAAGACTCGTTAACAACCTACATTAGGCAGATAACACAACCTTGCTTGCTGAAAGTGAAGAGGACTTGAAGCACTTACTGATGAAGATCAAAGACCACAGCTCTCAGTATGGATTATGCCTCAATATAAAGAAAACAAAAATCCTCACAACTGAACCAGTAAGCAACATCATGATAAACAGAAAAAAGATTGAAGTTGTCAAGGATTTCATTTTACTTAGATTCACAGTCAACACCCATGAAAGCAGCAGTTAAGAAATCAAACAAAGCATTGCACTGGGCAAATCTGCTGCAAAGGACCTCTTTAAAGTGTTAAAAAGCAAAGACATCACCTTGAAGACTAGGGTGCACCTGACCCAAGCTATGGTGTTTTCAGTTGCCTCATATGCATGTGAAAGCTGGACAATTAATAAGGAAGACCGAAGAAGAATTGATGCCTGTGAATTGTGGTGTTGGCGAAGAATATTGAATATACCATGGACTGCCAAAAGAACGAACAAATCTGTCTTAGAAGAAGTACAACCAGAATGCTCCTTAGAAGCAAGGATCGCGATACTATGTCTCACATACTTTGGACATGTTATCGGTAGAGATCAGTCCCTGGAGAAGGACATCATGCTTGGTAAAGTAGAGGATTAGCAAAAAGGAGGAAGACCTTCAACGAGATGGACTGACACAGTGGCTGCAACAGTGGGCTTAAGCATAACAGTGATTGTGAGGATGGTGCAGGACCGGGCAGTGTTTTATTCTGTTGTACGTAGGATCGCTATGAGGCAGAACAGACTTGAGGCACCTAACAATGACAGTAGGGGTCCACCGTCATTCTTTTGCATGTGAAGAGCCAGCTTTTCCAGCATCATTTGTTGAAAAGACTGTTCTTTCCCCATGTAATGGTCTTGGCGCATGTCTTAGTCATCTACTGTTGCTCTAACAGAAATACCACAAGTGGATGGCTTTAACAAAGAGAAATTTAGTTTTTCACAGTCTAGTAGGCTACAAGTCCAAATTCAGGGCGTCAGCTCCAGAGGAAGGCTTTCTCTGTTGGATCTGGAGGAAGGTCCTCCTTATCATCAATCTTCCCCTGGACTAGAGCTTCTCTTCGCAGGAACCTCAGGTCCAAAGGACGCGCTCTGCTCCTGGCACTGCTTTCTTGGTGGTATGAGGTCCCCAATTCTCTGCTTGCTTCGCTTTCCTTTTATCTCTTGTAAGATAAAAGGCAGTACAAGCTACACCCTAGGGAAACTCCCTTTACATTGGATCAGGGATGTGACCCAGCTAAGGATGGTGTTACAATCCCACCCTAATCCTCTTTAACATAAAATTACAGTCACAAAATGGAGGACAACCACACAATACTGGGAATCAGGGCCCAGCCAAATTGATAGACACATTTTTTGGGGGACATAATTCAACCCATGACAGTGCCATTGTTGAAAATCATTTGACCACGGATGTTTGGGTTTATTTCTGGACTTTCAAATCTATACGTTGAGCTATGTGTCTGTTCTTATGCCAGTACCACAGTTTTGATAACCATTGCTTTTAGTAAGTTTTGAAAACAGGAAGTGTGAGTCCTCCTACTTTATTCTTCTTTTTCAGAATTGTTTTGGTATTCTGGGTCCCTTTCAATTCTGTATGAATTTTAGGATCAGTTCATCAGTTTGTACAATGAAGTCAGCTGGGATTCTGATACAGATTGTGTGGAATCTGTAGATCAGTGTGGGAAGTATTGCTCTCTTAACAATGCTAAGTCTTCCAGTTGATGAATACGGACTGCCTTTCCATTTATGTGAGCTTCCTTAATTTCTTTCAGCAATGTTTTGTAGTTTTTAGAGTATAAGTTTTGCTTTTTTGTTAAATGTATTGCTAAGTATTTTTTCTTTTTGATGCTATTATAAATGGAATTGTTTTCTTAATTTCATTTTCCCATTGTTCATTGCTACTAACTGTATAGAAATACAGTTGATTTTTGTATCTTAATCTTGTACCCTGCAACCTTGCTGGACTCATTTATTAGTTCTAGTCTTTTAACATATTCTTGGGTGATCCAAATTCCAAGTTAGTTTGGCATCCCCCAGCCCTTCTTCTGGCTATTTGGATTTGCTTCTCTAATGTGTCTCCATGTTGAGATGGATCATGCATGACTGGATTCACAAAGGTCACTCTTATCAAAAGTTTTAAATTCTTGGAGAATGATGTAGCATCACTTTGGTACTTTGCTAGTTTGAGGGGCTGGTAATACTATTATTATTCATTTTAACATTAACAACTTTGTAAAAGTGGGAAAAAATTACAGTTGTTCATTTTTCTTAGAGTTATTAAATAATTTGTTTCTCTCCAGTTGCTGATTTTGTAGGGTTAGATCCCAGAATTGCTGCATGGCTTATAGAGCCCAGTGACACTGAGCCTTCTTTTGAAGATTTAGTGGCAAAATATTTTGAAAAATCCATCACAGTTAAAGTAAACAGCACATATGGAAATTCGTCAAGAAATATTGTGGTGAGTTGTTTGAAGGTGAAGTTTTATCAACCTTAATACAACCCTGATTTTTCTTAGGAACTTTTTCTCCTTCGTAGATAGTCTAAACATAAAAAGAACACAGCTACCGTTCCTTTTCATTTCCTCAGAACAAATACCTCTTTATGCTGGCCCCTTTGGTGGAGGGTATTGAGTGAGATGAGTTTTTCCTGTTCCTTTGTCAAACATATTCCTGGGAAATCTAGCTGCCAGCATGATTCTTCTAAACAGTCTTTGGTGTCAGAGAATCACCTGCTGCATGAGCAGAGTGCTACTCATTTAGAAATCCCGAGTGTTGGTGGGAGCTGCCCTGGATGTGTCTAAGTGTTCCCCTACTGTTGTTGATACACTTACTTGTTAGGAACTGTAATCTGGAGAAGGGTGCTCACAGCTCCTAGAACCGTGCCTGGAGCCCGAGCAAGGGGGATTTGACCTGGCCACGCAGGCTGTGGCGGGAGAGACATTCCTGTAGGAACAGCATGGGCTGCAATCAGGCCCACTCGTTTCAGGATTCAGAGTTGTGAATTAACAGCTGTGCATTGAAAGCAGTGCTAGAGAAACATGCAGAGTGCTGCGGGAGCACAGAGGAGGGGCTGTGTGGGTGGGAGGTGGCCACTCTGTGTGTCAGCCCCTCGTTCTCACAACGCCCTGTGAGGTCAGTGTTTGTATCAGTTAGGGGCTTTGGGTTGTAAACCACAGAAACTTACTCTGCCTTAATTACAAATTGAGCAGAAGGCTATAGGGTAGCTCACAGAATCAGAGGAAAGCAGAACCAGGCCTTGGGAAAAACAGACAGTGCTGGGGACTCAAGAAGCAGGAGCTGAGAGGCATGGTGCCAACATTGAGCCATGACATTTTTATCTGTGTGTCATTTTTGTCAAAGATTCCCATTTTCAGCATTTAGCAAGTGTCTCATTTCCCTCACTTATGTCACATGCCCACTGCATTTGCTGGTGGTCCAGTCAGGGTCCCACCAGAGAAACAGGACCAGTAGAATGGATGGATTGCAAAGAACTAGCTCACTCAACTGTGGGGGCTGGCTTTGCATGTTTGAGTTCGTAGGGCAGGCCAGCAGCTTGGAAACTCCCAGGCAGCAGCTGATGCTCCTCAGTTCTGCTTTGAAGGCCTTCAGCTGATTGTATAAAGTCTACTCAGATTCTCAGGGACAGTCTCCTTTACATAAAGCAGGGCTTCGAACTGGTTTGTTCTGATTCAAACCCCTGCTGAGAATTTGCATTTCTAACAAGTTCCCTGCTGTTAATTTGCATTTATAACAAGTTCCCAGAAGTTATACACAAGAATCACTTGGGGATCTTATTAAAAATGTAGATTCTGATGCAGTATATCTCGGGTGGAAGTGTAAATTCTCAGCAGGGAACTTGTTAGAAATGCAAATTTTCGGCAGGGGTTCAAACCAGAACAAACCAGTTTGAAACCCTGACATAAAGCCATCTGATTGTAGTTGTTAATCACATCTACAAAACACCTCCACAACATCTGGATTGGTGTTTGATTGAGTAACTTGGGACTGTGGCCTAGTCAAGTAGACACATTGTCTTAGTCATCTAGTGCTGCTATAACAAATACCACAAGTGGATGGCTTTACAAAGAGAAGTTTATTCTCTCACAGTCCAGTAGGCTACAAGTCCAAATTCAGGGCATCAGCTCCAGGAGAAGGCTTTCTCTCTCTGTCAGCTCTGGAGAAAGGTCCTTGTGATGTATCAGTCTTGCCTTGGTCTGGGAGCATCTCAGCACAGGAACCTCAGGTCCAAAGGACGTGCTCTGCTCCCAGCACTGCTTTCTTGGTAGTATGAGGTTCCCATGTGTCTCTGCTCGCTTCTCTCTTTTATATCTCAAAAGAGATTGGATTAAGACACTATCTAATCTTGTAAACCTCATCAGTATAACCTCATGACAGTGACAGAATTTACAACACATAAGGAGATCACATATAACTTCATCATAGTGATAAGAGTTTCAACACATAAGGAAATCACATCAGATTACACAGTCATACAGTACTGCAAATCATGACCCAGCCAAGCTGACAGATATTTTTGGGGGACAAAATTCAATCCATGACACACATCCAATTGGCCACCATAGCAGGGGAGGACAGGGCGTCTTGACTAGAAGTCCTACCCAGATCCCATGCTGTCAGAAGGGCAAGTTCCCCAAATAAAAGTTAACATATTATTACCAAAAGAAGGAGTTGTCCACCTCAGTATTATCAGTCCCAGTTTACAGATGAGAAAATTGAGACCCAGAAAGGTTAACCTTGGCCAAACTCAACTGAAAGTGATGATTCACATGCTGGATTTCTGACTTTAAAGTCCAATTTCATGTGATAAGTTAGGGATGGGAATGGCTACAAGAAACAAAAAAATCAGCGACCAGAGGCTGTATCCTCCCCCCGAAAGAAGTCCAGTGCACCTGAGCAGGTGCTCTGCAGTGCTGTTGGGGACCCTCAGCACGCTGTCACCTTGTACACTGCTGGAAGCTTCTCCGTGAGGCCCCACATCCACAGTCCAGGCTGAAAAGGGGCAGCCTAGCATGAAGTTCTGCTTATATCTTATTGGCCAGAAATGTGTGCCATGCCACCAGCTGTGAGGAAGGCTGGGGAAATGAGCTTTTACAGCTTCTGTCATTGCCCCCTCAACTAGGTATCTTCCTGACTAGTTGTTCACAGAGATTGAAGACCAGGAAAATACTGAAAAACAAATGCCAGGATATGTGCAGACAGCTCTTGGCTCATTGTTTGTGTGGTGGGGGAGTTCTAATCTGAGGCCTTTAGCAGAGAAACGGAGACGGACTGGCCTAGAATTTGGGGGTCATTGGACAGAGTGAGGTGGTCCACAGGTAGTCCTGGAGCTCTGTGTCATAGGGGTGGGAGATAGGAGACGAAGTGTTGAGGGGCTGCGTCTCATCCCGTCTATTCTTTTCATCGGTTGAACACCTCTTTGTTGATCACCCAGGACCCCTGTGTTTGTCCGTTCTAGGGTAAGGATGGAATGGCTGAATGTGGACTTGAGGGAGTAGGCCTCCTGACTCCTTGACTGGTTGTGTATGAGTTGCAGGTGGTGGAACCAGGTCCTCGTCCTCCTATGTCTAAAAAAACTAAACCAACCCCACTGCCTTTGAGTCGATTTTGACTCATAGAGACCCTGTAGGACAGAGTAGAACTGCCCCATAGGATTTCCAAGGCTGTAAATCATTACAGAAGCAGACTGCCACATCTTTCTCCCCAGGGGCAGCTGGTGGGTTCGAACTGCCTGCTTTTCGGTTAGCAGCCAAGCAGTTTAACCACTTAGCCACCAGAGCTCCACCCTCCTGTGTCTACCACTGTGTAATCATTGGACCTGGGACATTTAACCTCCTGTGGTTCTGTTTCTTAGTGTGTAAAATGAGGAAAAAATAATTGGGTTGGGGAAAAAACGTCAGGCTACTGATAGAACACCCTTCCACCTTAAGAAGTACCCTCCCTAGCTCTGGAACTAGCTGACTTCAGGCCCTTGGTGTTGATGCCATCAGATGGAGAATAGCTCCCTGCGAGGACTGGTCACAGTTAGCTAGTAAGCATGTTGGTGAGTGTACACTTCATAGATTGTGACGAGCACTGTGGCCAAGCCTGCCTAACTTTTAAAACTTTTGATCTTTTAAAGAATCAGAATGTGTGTGTGAACCTGAGGATACTCTACAGACTTATGATGGAACTGTGTTCTAAACTGAAGGCAAGTTATTATTCTTTTTGGTTAACAGAAACTCTTGCTTACTCTGTATATGTTTTCTTTTCATTCACGTTCATACTCGCAGGCAGCAATACCTCCAGTGTCTTTGAATGTGAAGGAAAATAAAGCACTGTGTTCTAAGGCCAAATGAACCCACACTTCACTCATAAAGGGTAGTCCAGAATGATAAAGCTTTCCATAGACTGAAAACAATTGTAACATGTAAATATAGCGCTTTCCCAAATGACACCTTTGCTTCAGCTGGGATATCTCTAATGCCACCATGAAGATGAAAGGTGAGTGCTTGTTTTAGTTAATAGTAAAAGAGACATAGCTCAGCTCAGTCAGAATCTCATGGGGAAGCAGATGGTCTTGCAAAAGAACAGTCAAGAGGAGTTGACTGAAGGGGCTGTTTGTAGAGGCACGGGCACACTTAGGGAACCAGAAAGGATGGAGAAGCATCCAGGGACTGGCAGAGCCAGACACTTTTTACCCACCTGGGCTTGAAGGGAGAGCTGTTACCAGAAGCCTGGGAGAGTGGCAGCCATGACAGAGGGGCAGAGGGAGTTAGGAATCAAACACCAGAACTGTGGCTGCTGGCTAGGAATGTGGAGGTGCAGGGAAACAGAAAACCCACCTTCTCTCCCCTCCGCCTTCCAGTCCCTCCTTCTAGTGCCTCCAACTGGGCAAAGGCCACTGGAGAGCAACAGAGTCCAGGTGAGGTGGTCTGGAGGGTCATGCACACCCCACCAGCAGGCACTGTGTGGGCAGAGAAAGGATGTGGAGGGGCAGGCAGAATGCTCCAAACGCTCAAAGCTCAGCTGAAAGCAGACAGTGCAGGCAGAGGCCACGGACTCGCAGCCGCAGCAGGAGAGAGAAAAGATGAAGATGCTGGTAAAGAGCACATCAGTTTTCACTCTCTTAGATGAGATGAACTAATATAAAGATTCAGTTCTCCACAAATTATCTATAAAGTCAAAGCAAAACCAATGAAAATTCTAGTTGAATTTTTGGGAAATTCAGTAAACCCCTTCAGAAATTAAAATGGGAGACTAGAAGTCCACGAATACCTAAATCTGCCTTAAAAATGAGAAAGAGTAAAGACAAACGGGGATGGGGCTTGCCCTACCGATATCTCTAGAGTTGTAACAAAAAAAAGACACTTGAAGGAAATTGGAGTTTTGTTAGGAAAGAGGAGGGGGGAGGAGTGGATGTTGGGCAGGAAACCAACCGTGTCTACTACGGGAATTTCCTTAATTTTTGCCCAGAGGAATTAAGTAGGCTTTTCAGCAAAATGCAGATAGAAGTAAGTAACATTGATATTATTACCTTCTCTGAAACAGGGTTATGGTTTATGGCAACTATTTTGTACTTTGGAGCTTCCTCTGATACCAATTTTGGCAGGTAAGGTAACTATAAAGATGAAGTGTAGTTTTTTCTAGAGAATTCTTTAAATTGTTTGAGAACAGTTTTTTCTCCCTTAAATTACAGTGAAACCTGTGAGAGCTGGAACTTGCCGGGACAGCCTTGTTTTTTTTCTTCTGGCTCTCTCAGATCTTCCGCTTTTGACAGGGTGCAGTCTTACCACTTTTCTATCGCCCATTTTAGTGGAAAATATTTGAGTTTTCCTTCCCTGACAGGTTTCTGCCTTACACGGGTTCCGGCTTCCACAGCTTTTACTGTATTTAGGGAGTAGCAAGCTTTCTTTTCCCTTCCGGTCACATGAGGGGTTGGACTGCCTCTGCTCTCGGGGACTAGAGGACTAGAAGTTTCTGACACCGCAATCGTGCAGGGGCCCTTCTGTACTGTAAGGTTGTGCTGGCTGTTCTGGCGGAGAGGCAAACGCCATCTAAACTCACAGACTCTTGAGAAGCAGCAGGGCCGGGAGAGGAGGCCTCTCCAGATGCTTTATATGTAGGTAGTCATCTCGCATCCCTAATGTTTGTACTTTTAACTCTCCCCTCCCTAGGGTGATAGTCTTGGAAACTTCCCAAGAGGAATATTGTAGGGCTCAATTCTGTCTTTGCCTCTGCAGCATCCCTGTCCTGCCCCAGGTCTTGCTGTGAACATGGGGTAGCAGAGCTTTGCCCAGCGCCTCTGCCTCTGTGCTGGTGTGTGGGGAGACTCTCCGTTCAGTATGTGTGTCCCTGCCCGCCCCCACCTACCCCCTGGCCAGAGCAAGGGCTTGAATTCTCGCTCTGTCGGTACTCTGCAGCTTGAGTGAGTTCCTTTCCTGAGGTCCTGTGTTCTCCCTGTGAGATGGGACTAATCATAGGCCCTTTGCAGAGGCTGGCACATAGTAGGTGCTAGGCAAGCAGCAGTTGCTATGATTATTGTCTTCACTGAGGCAGTGAGGTTTAGTTCTGGCACTTTAGTCTTTACTAAGAAATGATTTGTTAATGTAATGCAAATATTGTGTTTGATTTTTGAATCACAGTGATGGAAAGCAACAGCATTCAAATTAACAAGGAAGAAATGAGGAGGACTTCAGCTCTGCTTGGGGTAAATTCTTATTTCAGACTATTTTGATTTATAGCTTTCTCCTGCATAGCTTTCTTGGCTTGTTTCCCACCTGCTGTCATTACAAATAATGCTACATCCTTGAGCATGTGTCCTGTGCACGTGGACACACATTTCTCGAGAGTATTAACACAGGGTGGAGCTGCGAGGGCACAGGGCATGGCATTGCTCAACTTTGTCACATAATACCAGGTTGCTTCCATAGTCACCGTGCCAATATGCACACCTACCAGAAGTGCCCAGGAGAGGTCCTGTTGTCGCACAGCCTCACCTACACTAGGTGTATCGGACTTTTACATTGTAGCCATTTGGTGAGAACATGATGGTATCTCATTTTGGTTTTGTTTTTGTTCGGTTTTTGGTTTTTGTTACTGATGAGGTTGGATAGCTTTTCATATCATTACTGGCTATTGAGAGTTTCTCTCTTGTAAAGGGTCTGTTCAAGTCTTTTACCCATTTTTATACTGAGGGTTTTGTCTTTCTTTTACTGATTTATAGGAAATCTATGGATATGCTGGATAAAAGCCTGTCACGTATACCTTCTCCCTCTCTGGGTCTTGCCTTTTTATTCTCCTAGTGGTGTCTTCTGATGAACAGAAGTTCTTAATGTCAGTGAAGTCCAACGAACCAAATGTTTTAGAAATGTTTAATCTTTGTGCTAAGATAGCTTTGCCTGCCCCTTGGTCGTGAAGGTATTCTATGTTTTCTTCTACAAACTGTATTGTTTTACTTTTCACTTTAGGCTTATCATCTATTTCAGATTGATTTTTGTATATGGTTTGAAGTAGTAAAGCTTTTTTTCATGTAGATATCCAGTTATTTCAGCACCATTTATTAAAACATCGTTGTTTTCCCCACAGAATTGCAATGCCTGAAATATTGACTGTTTGGCCCAGTCTATGGGGAGAGCCCTGGTGGAGCAGTGGTTAAGCACTCGGCTGCTAGCAGAAAGGTCAGCAGTTCGAACACACCAGCCGCTCCTCTGGAGAAAGACGTGGCAGTCTGCTTCCATAAGGATCACAGCCTTGGAAACCCTATGGGGCAGTTCTACTCTGTCCTGTAGGGTCGCTAGGAGTCAGAATTAACTCGGTGGCAATGGACATAATGGCTGCCGCCGCAGTACAGAAAACCGAGTCTGTTCAAGATGAAGTCACAGAGGTTTATTGTAAGCAAAGATTTCAGTTCCAACTGGGAACAACACAGCTCATTGAAATGAGACAGTGGTGTCTGCAAAGGGGATCTGAATCAGGGATAATTATACTGCTACAGCAGGCGTCAGCCACAGGTTATTCTTGATTGGTGCATCTCCAATTAGGAAAGTGGGAGGCAGGATCTTGGTGGGGGGTACCTTATTGGTTCAGAGGGCACATCTCCAAAACACCAACTGGTTACCAATTATTAATGGCTATAGTTAGAGATTACAGATAGTTTCACTGGCTGCTTAGATAGTGATCACAAGATGCTTACATGGATTTTCCTTGTTTATCTTGCAAGAATACCTTGTTGGCAACAGCACCCAGACAGCACTCTTCCTGAGTACAAGTGTTTTGAGGGGTGCAGATAGTCATATGGTCAAGGCCCCTTGGGGCATATGGTTTCACATCCTGGTTTTGACCATTGAGGAAAAACATGTTTTTCTCAAAAACACAGCTGTGAGACTAGACATCCAGATTAGAGTTAGATAGCGTGGTCAGCATGTTACGCCTGTGTCTCACTGACCGCACTGAAAGTTTTTGTTTTTCCCTAAGACACAGGTAGGGGGAGAGGGGTCGCACATCTTTCTTTAGATTTATTTCTAGGTTTTTGAAGTTATTTAATATTACTATTGTGAATAATATTTTAAATTTTAGTTTTCCAATTGTTTGTTGCTAGTAGATAAAAGTATAAATGACTTTTTTTTGTATTGACCTTATGATCCTGTTCTCCACTGCAGTCTTTCTGACCACTTCAAAACTTAGTGATTTAATGACAAGATTTATTTTGTTTATGGATCTACCATTTGGTAGGACTTTGTGCAGATAGCTCATCTCTGCTCCACTGATGAGTGTGGGTAACTCAAAGGTTGAGGGCTGAATTATCTGAAGGCTCACTTTCCCACGGGTTAGGTGGTTGATGCTGGCTGTCAGCTGGGACCTCAGTGAGACTGTGGCCTCTCCACGTGGCCTAAGCTTCCTCACAGCATGGTGGCTAGGTTCCAAGGACCAGGGCCCCAAAGAGAAAGAGCTAGGTGGCAGTGGTATCACCTTTAATGACCCAGCCTCAGAAGCCATGCACCATCAGTCCTGCCACATTCTTTTCACTACAAGTGAGTAAATAAGACAAATCCTCCTTGAGAGAAAGAGAATCAGATGCCACCTTTTCAGCGGAAGAGTGTCAAACAACTTGTGGGTATGTTTTAAAATCAGCCTACTACCTTGTAGCCAACAATCTTACTAAATTTACTTACTACTGATTTCACTTCAAATTTGTAGATTCTTAGGGATTTTTCTACGTATATACTCATGTCATCTGTGAGTAAAAACAGTTTTACTCCTTCCTTTCCACTTTTCATATCTTTTAGTGCTTTTCTTCCCTATTTAGGACTTCTAGTACTTTATTGAATAGAGGTGGTGAACGTCTTCTTCCTGACTTCGGGGGCAAAGCCTTTAGTGTTTAACCATTAGTATGATGACAGTATTAAAAAAAAACAAACCCACTGCTGTCCAGTTGATTCCAACTCATAGCAACCCTACAGGACAGAACAGAACTGTGCCAGAGGGTTTCCAAGGAATGGCTGGTGGATTTGAACTGCTGACCTTTTGGTTAGCAGCTAAGCTCTTAACCACTGTACCACCAGGGCTCCAAGTACATGTATGGTGATAGTAGATATACTTTATCACGTTAAGGAAGTTCTGTTCAATTCCTACTTTGCTGAGAATTTTTTATTTTATTTTATACCGGTGTTGAATTTTATTAAGTAGACTTTCTGTTTCTGTTGAAATGATTTTTCTCCTTCATTCTGTTAATGTGGTGAATTACATGAATAGATTTTGAAAAGTTAAACCAGCCTTGCATTCCTGGAATAAACTCTGCTAGGTTGTGATGATTAATTCTTTTTAAATATTGCTGTATTCAGTTTGGAGCCTTGGTTGCATAGTGGTTAAGAGCTACGGCTGCTAACCAAAAGCTCAGCAATTCAAATCCACCAGGTGCTCCTTGGAAACCCTACGTGGCAGTTCTACTCTGTCCTAGAGGGTCGCTGTGAGTTGGAATCGACTTGGCAGCAACGGCAACGGGAACGGGAATTCAACTTGTTTGTTGAGGATTTTTTTGTCTAAGTTCATGAGAGATATTGGTCTGTAGTTAGGAAGTATTCCCTACTCTTTCATTCTTTCTGAAAGAGATAGTGTAGAATTTCTGTTAATTCTTCTTTAAACATTTGGAAGAATTCTCCAGTGAAGAGAATTCTTTGCCTAAATGTTTCTTTTTTGGAAGGTTTTTAATTATGGATTTAATTTCTTTAATAGTTGTAGAACTATTCAAATTATCTATTTCATATTGAGTGAGTTTTGGTAGTATGTACTTTTCAAGGAATTGGTTCATTTCATCCAAGTGGTTGAACATACGTGTATAGAGTTGTTCATAGCATTTCTTTGCTATCTTTTTAATGGTTGCTGGATCTGTACAGATATCTCCTTTATTTATTCCTGATATTGGTGATTTGTATCTTCTCTCCTTTTATCTTTGTCAGTCTTGCTAGAGGTTTATCAATTTTGTTGATCTTTTCAAAGAATCGGTTTTTTGCTTCATTGATCTTATTGTATTTCAGTTTTCAATTTCATTGTTTTCTGCCCTTTATTATTTCATCATCTGGTTTTGGATTTATTTTGCTCTTCTTTTTTTAGTTTCTTGAGATGGGAGCATAGATTATTGATTTGAAACTTTTCCTACTTCCAGTGTAAGTATTTAGTGCTATAGATTTCTTCCTTAGTTCAGCCTTAGCCAAGTGAAAGGCAGGGATAGTGGTAACGAGGACTGAGAAAGCCGTGGAAGAAGGACATTTCAAAAGAAGAATTAATACGTAGATCACTGATTTTTAATCTTGATTCTTTTTAGTATATGGTTAAGCACTTGGCTGCTAACCTAGAGGTTGGCGGTTCAAATCTGCCAGGCAGCTCCATGGGAAAAAAAACCTGGCGATCTGCTTCCTTAAAGATCATAGCCTAGAAAACCTTATGTGGTAGGCAGTTCTACTGAGTCACGTGGTGTTGCTATAAGTTGAAATCAACTCCCACGGCACCTAACAACATTTAAAGTTATAATTTCTCTCAAAGTACTGTAGCAATCCACAGATTAAGTCTCCCTCTCAGCCCTGTAGCATCCCAAATGTTTCAGTAAGTCATATTTTCATTATCATTCAGCTCAAAATATTTTATGATGTCTTATTTGAGTAATACATTATTTAGAAGTATGTTGCTTAATTTTCATGTTTGGGAATTTCACATTATCTCTCTATAACTGATGTATACTTTTATCCCCTATGGACAAGAAGCATAGTCTGTATGATTTGAGTCCTTTGAAATTTACTGAGACTTGCTTTTTGGTCCAAAATAAGTTTTATTTCAGAAAATGTTCTATATACACTTGGAAGAAATATACTGTATATTCTTCAGTTGTTGGGTATAGTTTTCTGATTAGATCAGTTAGGTCATTAGGTACACACAAATTTAGAATTACAACGTCTTCTCGTGTAATTGACTTATCGTGAAATATTCGTCTTTATTTTCAGTAAAACTTCTATCTTTAAGTCTACTTTCTCTGATATTAATATGGCTATTCCATTTTTCTTTTGGTTAATGTTTACATGTTTTCATGATGTATTTCTTTTAATCTGTCAAAACCTATCATTATCCCTTTGTTTAAAGTGTGTTTCTTGTAAACAGCACAGAGTTGTGTTTTTTTTTTTAATGCAGTGTGATTTTTTTTTTAATGGAGTGTGTTTA